TTCCTGTTTCTGGTACAATTAAAACAATAAGAACATAATGAACAAAGCATCTACCCTCACTTTCACTTTCAGTTTCTATTCTTCCCTCACTAATCCTTTCTACATTCGCTAAAAATTGAAATATTTTCCTCGTAACTTTCCCACCTCTTTTAACACTTCATCCCTATAAACAAGATGCATTCTCTCAACCAATTCTACATGATTTCCCAACCGGGTCATTGTATTCTTACCATTTTAGTCCCTCATCTATATCTCCTTATCATAATATATATCTCATGGAAATCAGTCCTCTCATTTGTATCCCTTCAGTAGAAAAACAAATCATTTTCGTTCTCTCCATACTTTTTAAAAAGGAAATCATGTCTGGAAATGCATCAAACTCCAGCAATTGCGGATGGTGGAGGGTAAATATTTCAACCATTTGGCTCATAATCAATCTTGTTAACGTCGCTAGTTTTTTCAAATGGTTAGATTGTATGAATAAATTAAATTACATATGTAAATCAGCATGTTTACTCGATTAACATTCTTTTATTTTACAGGCACTTTGCAAGAAATTGCAAAACGAGCTAAACCGGCATGAGCAAGAGATAAATCATCTCAAGGAGTTGCTGGTATTGTAGTTATATTTGAAAAGAAAACAATATATAATAGATTTGCATCAATTTTTTGTTTATTTGTAGAACCTTCTTCTTCAAAATATTAGGTATTTATTTATGATGCAGATTATGTAATTGTTGAGCGATGGAAATCGTCTGAAAGTTGGACAGAGAAAGAGAGAGACACCTATCCTAATTAAATTAAGTGGTAAATTATTTATAGTTTGCTGCATGCATTCTTAATTATTTACAGAAAATTCATGTTTCATCCTTTATAGAGGTATCGAAGAAGACATTATCAGGGCATCTGCGGTGATTTAGGATGATAATACTGATAGGCAGGTAGAATAATGTCTCGTTTATATACTGTAAACATACCATTATTGCCCAGAATTAATGGGAGCAACTCCAAATTAACAAGCTTGAAAGAGATACCAACATACACTGCTGTTTCCTCTGTTTCTTTTTCCTTTGCCACGAAGTATACTACAGCACTTCTATAAACTATGAAACTTCATTCATCATCCCCCCTGACATCTACTTTTGATTAATTAACAAGATCGCTATATTAGTACATGACTACTATTCTAATCTTGAAATTGGCATTCGGAGTTACAAATCAAAACCAATACCATTTAGGACAATACAGAAAGGACCTATGTATCAACCCTCTTGATGAGATTGGCTTTTTGTTATAGATGTAAGTACATATAACATTATTTCTGTATAAAAGAACGTTGGATGCACCTACAGACCTGCTGAGTATCTAGTAATAACGGTATGGGAATTTAGATATCAGGATCAGAATTTCAGCTGTTGGATGTGCAGAAACTGGACAATCTTCTATTGATTGATGTTCAAGAAGTTTACATCTTTTTCTGTTGATTTTCCTCCCCTTATTTTATAGTACTATCCTATACAGATCAGCCCCGGAGCAATCGTTTGCAGAAGGATAATGCAAATAATAACAGTAGTGTTTACATCTCAATTAAGAGAAAAACCAAGGAACATGGCTTTCTATTGATAGGAAGTACCAGTGGCCCCATAACAATGGATGGAAAGTAATCAAAACCAACGTGTTACAGAGTTCAAACCATGACCCCTAATGAACTTGCTCTTCAATGAAAATAATGATTTCATTTCCCAACACCTTAAACCTGATACTATGTCATAGATCGTCGGATAGTTTACCTGCTTCGGCAGTCTAAGTAGAACAGTTGTAGGATTTATGGTGTCACTGAGTGTTATGGGAAGAACCATAAATATCTTTTCTAGAACTACTCCATGCAATATTAAAAGAGGGATAAAATTCTCCTATTCATCACTGCACTTGAATCTTCTATTCTTAAATCCTTTATTTCAACTTGTTTGAGGATTCGTAGGCTGAGATGGATTGGTTTTCTTAAAAGCTCTACCATTTTCATGCTTGGAAACAAATTTCTCCATCTCCTGGGGAAAAAAACTGCTGCAAGATTAGCAAAATTTGAATTGAGAAGAACATAGTCAAAAGTGCTAGAATAATCGCAAAACACTTGCATCAACATCTTCCTTGTTTTGGTCTACAACGATTGTCTCAAGGTTGGGCGAAAGTTTGAGGAAGGAAGCTATACCATGCAGATCAAACTTTGAATAATCTTTTTGTAACTCTAAATGCTTGAGATTGTACAGTGAATTTCCAGAAAAAAACATCCTTCAATACAAGCCTGTGTGTATAATTACAAATATGTAAGAAAACTGGTTATTAAACATCCAAAAACAGATGCATAGAAAAATAAATGTAATCTAACAAAAGTATGGAATTATTTCCAATTTTTTTACAAGATAAGAGCTACCGGTTAGATTCAAATTCTAGCAATGGAAAAAAAAAAAAAAACAACCAAGCCTCAATCCCAAACTAGTTAGGGTCGGCTATATAGACCATTTTGTGCCATTGTGTGCAACAATTAAATCATTTGATACCACTTTCCTTCATGTTAATTTCTGAGAGTAAATAGAAGAAATTCGTTTTGCACTGGAATTCTCAACCCAAACAAAGAGGTAATTAATTTAGCAGTCTAGCAAATGTTATTCTATTTCAGAAACCTAATTTCTTGATAATGAGCATAATTTTCTTTGTTTTGGATAGGTGCAATCTGGCATTCAAATGGATTACAGACCCATAACATGACTTAGGTGTAGTCATCACCTAATACGGTGGAGAATCTAATCTGGAAACATGACCAATACAGCCGGATTACGGAAAGATTACCTTAAGCCCCCAACTGGCGATGATAAGATCCTTCACAAAAGGAAGTGACCTCGTGATCTTACTCCACTCCTTATAATATCGTCTTTTACTCAAGAAGTAAATATTTGCTTCAGTTAACCAGAGAAGTCCTTAAAATCATATATACAACCCCATCGAAGGTTTTGGGTAGAGTGGTAAGAAGCATGTTTCTGACTCATCAGGTCTGGAGTTCAATTCTCGCTCTTAAAAAATTCCTCCACCTCCTTTCTATAGCATTGAACACAGGCTATTGGTGGGCTCAAAGAGTCTGGCCTTTAGAATATATCAAAAGTTTGGCGCAAGGAATAATGGACTTAGTTTCGATTGGCTTGTCCAAGAATTTCCCACTACTTGTGGGGGGTGGGAATCTATATATTGCAAGTGAAAAACTAAGCTTGAGCTCATTGAGCTTTAAACAACAAATTTGTAAATCCTTCATGCCCCAACAGCTTTTCAAAGATATCTTTTCCAAATTCACGCACCAAGAAAACAAATCACACACAATGCTGTCCCGTATCAAGCCTTTTCAAGAAACACTGACTTGAGCCCCAAGTTACTGAACATAGTGATACTATCACGAACTAACATGGAAGAGGATATATATTAACTCTGTTGAAATATATAGTCCTCAACTTCTTCTTCTTCTTCTTTTTTTTTTTTTTTTTTTGTCCAGAAAGAAAACAAACACAAGGCCACAAGGCGAGAGAACAACTTAAACTAAATAAAAGAGCTCGTGAAAAGTACCAGCCGCATAGAATATCCCAAAGCAGAAGAGGCATAACAACCAAGAAAATCAAGTGCAAATGCAGAGAATAATCACAACACATCAGCTCATCAAATCCAATTTACAAAATAATGGTCTCTAGAAACTCCTTGCTTTGCAAAACCATCCGCCATGTGATTACCAAGAAAATCTTCTCTTGTAGCCGACAGTTCTAGCTAGAGCCATGATGAATCTACTTCTTTAGATTACTTTAATTGATTTGGGTTCCCTTGTTTCTTATAGGTTACCTTATTTGTTACATCTAGTTTAACTTGTTTCATTTAGGGCTTACTTGTGTAGGAACATAAGGAATTCATGTAGCATAAGGAGTACTTTGTATAAAGAATATGTAAGGATTAGAGAGTCCATATTGCATGAGATAGAATTAACTAATCCTAATTAAGTCTTTTATATTTAAGGATTTGAGAGTCTGTAAGGATTAGAGAGTACAAGATAAAATTAATTAGTCCTAGTTGAGTATGAAAAGAACTTGAATCGAGTATTTTACATGTAAGGATTTGAGAGTCTAGATAAGGATTAGAGTATGAGATAGAATTAAGCATTAGAGTATGAGATAGAATTAATTAGTCCTAACTGCGTATGGAAAGGACTTGAGTGGTCGAATATAGCAAGACTTGGGTGACCAAATGTAGCAAAAACTTTACTATCCTTGATGGCCGAATATGGACATTATAAATAGGGACCTAGACAATTTCTGATTCTTGATTAATAAACTGTTTTTAAGCGTTTCGCTTCTCTTATTATTGCTTTTTCTTGTGTTATTGCTAAGGGCATGTCCTGTATCATTGACCTTGATCTACTTGATCTAACCAAGGGTGTAATGAAGCTAATCTTGCCAAAATCAATCACAAGGAGTTTCACTACTTAAATGAGTTTCAACCTTAACGAACAACTAAGGCTGGAATTTTTTTCATTCATCAACTTGAGGAGGGAAATTTCAGATTACTTAATCCATACAGGGATTCAATTTGACAACCATTAAAAATTTCAAGTTGGCTTAATTCAGTAAATCCTCAAGGACATATCAAAGCCGTACAATAAAATCATAATTCCTTGAAACATACCTTAGTTGGGAGAGCGTACGCAATAGAGTTTCCTTCTCTTTAACACATAGATTAATTTACTTCAGCAAACTGGCAAGAGAGATCTCCACAGCCTTCCTTCAAGATTATCCATCCTATAGCATTAAAAGAGATTGATTAAATTCCAAAGCTTATCTAATTGCTAACAGTTCAGCTACGTTTGAATCAGATTTACCCGCAAAACTTGAAAAGAAAAAAGAAGAAAAGCACAGAACACCCCCAGAAACATCATTGGTTGCAATCCTAACCCACTCTCTATGGTGCCTATCTCATATTTTATCAAAGAGCTTCTCGATTGAGACTAAATTGAAAATAATTGAAAACTGACCCCGTTCATGCGTATTGGTGGATAGAGAGACGGAGATGGACTTGTCACTGGTGTCTTCACAGTTGGCTAAGATAACTTGATTTCTGTTTCGAATTCCTTCCTTCAGAAGCTGAATGTAGGAGCTCTCGTATTCTTTCACTTTAAAAGCATGGGACTTTCTTGTTGATGTGAGAGAGTTGATTAACTGTTCTCCTCTCCTTCCTCCTCTTCTTAGGTGTGGCTAACAATTGAGAGGATTGTAAGTTTTCAATCTTATCGACATCTGCTATATCAAGGATAAAGGATTGAAAAAATAGTAGACTGGCGGAAGGAATTCCTCTAGCAGCCTGCAGAATGTATGAGATGTCTGGTGGTGTTATAATTGTAGTAATATGGTGGAGAACCAGGGCATAAGTTATGAGAAAGCAAGATTAAGATCCAAAGTCTTAATATGAAGTTGGGCACGCAGTGTCCATCGCATTAGTACTTACATTTCCAGTACAACTTAGTCGTTCCCCATAAAATTATGAGGAATTTAGACCTGTCCATCGCCCAAAAAGGCTTTCATGCTTGGACAAAGCATTTTTGGGCGATAGTTGTACTGGAAATGTAAGTACTAATGTGATGGACAGTGCGTGCCCAACTTCATATATATATATATATATATATATATATATATATATATATATATATATATATATAGACACACGCACACACCCAAGAAGTGTTTGCCATCTGTTATGTAATAACCTAAATTTTAGGTTACATATTTTCCTTCACTTTTTTTTTTTTTTATCCTTTTACTCCAACAAATTTCAAGATAGGCGATAAAAATATTCATCCCCAAACAATTGAAATTCGTTGGCGAAAACATTTTGGGACGTACGACTAAATCGTCTCAAAAGCCGCATAGCTAATTGTATTTCCAAACGCAAAGTAAAAATTGTCCATAAAGGATAATCATTATGGATGAATTTGACTTTCGTCCATGAATGTCGATCATTTACGAACAATAATTTTATCATAGAATATATCTATTTTTACCCGAATTAGTCCATTTCATTTGCAATTGTAGAAGATTTGAGTTGGGGGGATTTGAGTTTGGAGGGGGGGGGGTGGGGGAAGGGGGGACATTTTTTATTGACGATAAAAATTCGTCACAAAATCCAACCATAAAATGGTGATGAAGCATTTCCTCTGCAATGACTTATTTTTTGGGACGATAAATTGCATCTATAATTCCACGTGATTTTTGTAGACGACAAATTTCGTTCGTGATTTATCTTAACAGGGGATGATAATTTCGTCGTTGATTGCTTGCATTTTTTTAGATGGCAAATTTCGTCACCGAATTGCTTTTATTTTGAAATGATAAATTACATTCCTAATTGCTTGTATATTATCGACCTTACATGTCATGTCCAATATTATTTATATCCATAATAAGTCAAATAAAAAACAAAACCATTAAAATGAATTAAATATTATTTGCATCGAGAAGATGATTAGTGTCACATTCAACTAGGACCTTATCTATAGAGTCCAATGGCGACTTTCCTATCAAGGCTAACATGAGGTTGCCTTCTCAAACCGAGAAAAACAAGATGAAAATACACCGACTACAAACTTTCTTGTACTATATCATAGCAAAGTTACCTATGAATACTAAAATTTTAGGATGATAAGTTTAATGCATGCGTTCTGAAATAAAAGAGCTATATCATCAAAGGTGATCCACGTAAAAGAAAAAACAAGAAAAAAATATTAATATAATTTACCCATATTTAAATTGTTAATAAATTTTCTTTGCCCATGTTAAATTATGGAGCATAAACCCACTAGGATCGGTGAGAAAACGAAAGAAAGGAACCAAAACATGCATACGAAAAGAAATATATAATTTATACCTATATTATGAAAAGTCTTCAATGTGTTAAGAATAAGCACGTACCAAGTTCGAAAAAGTTATTCAAGAAAAAGTTCAAAATTGAACTAAGTTGTTCTAGTAGCAAGATATTGTTTGCTAATAAATTTAAATTAAACACGAGCTAAAAAAGAAAAAACACTACAAAAAAAAATTTAGCAAAACACTACAAAAAAAAAAAATTTAGCAATGGAAAATTTCATCGCTAAACGTAACAATTCTATCGTTAATTGCAAATAGCGACGTAATAGCGACGGACAAAATTCCATCGCTAATTCGCTGGTCGCCAAATTTTAGTAACGGAATATTAAGTCCGTCGCTAAATTTAGTGATGGAAACTCCGTTGCTAAATTTAGTGATAGAAAATCCGTCACTAAACCCAAAAAATCCGTTGCTAATTTTGAGGTGGGATGACTCTTTTTTCATAGCTAATCCGTCACTAATCCATCGCTAAATTTCAAAATAAATCCGTTGCTAATTTTGATAATAAATCCATCGCTATTTTTTCGTTCATTTTCGTCGTTATTTCATCGCTATTCCGAAAAGCAAAATTGTCACCAATCCGTCACTATTTTCGAAAATGATGTTTTCGCAATTCCTTCGCTTTTGTTGACATTTTCAAAAATTATATTATATTATTAATATAACATTTAATAATTAAAATTAATAATAAACAATCATAAGTAATCATGTATATATGAAAAATAAAATAACATTAATAAAATAATTTTAGAATACGTTTCATAAAAAAAAAACAACAAAACAAACAAAGTGATCGAATATTACATCACTCATCCTCGCTCGTCTAATCCTTATCCTCATCCTCATGCTATGTTGAGTGCTCACCGTAGGATCAATTAGAGGCCGAGTAGAAGACCGATAGATTGCTAAATGATCGATGGATCTATAAACAACCCGGATGTTCGTGCCAACTCGCATTAGTAAGGATGCCATCGAATCATATTGAGACTTCATGTTACAAATCGTCTCCTTAAGCTTGATCACCTCTTCCTTCATGGCTTCGTAGTCCATCCGAAGTTGTTTGCCGATCGGATCGATCATGTATTGCGACGTCGCAAAAAGGAGCCGTCGCCACTTGACCGAGACACATAATGAACCAATTATGTGTCGATCCCATAAAATCTTTTCTTCTTCTCCCCAACAACCTATAGGTAAATGGCATTCTAGTCTACTTTTGGCTCTAAGATTCTTACCTCCCTTTGAGCCTCAACTTCCTCATTGATTAGTTGGTCCATACGGTCTTGCATTATAAAAATAATAATATCATTGTTACATTATTAAAATAAATTTAAGAATAAATTTTCATAATTAATATTTAAAATTGAAAAATACTAACCTCGTGTCTACTAGGAGTGTATATCGACAAATGAACCATCACGTTTCTTATGAGTCCTCCGGAACAACTCATAAATCGTTGGTTAATGTCCCAATTCTATTACCTATAAAAAAAAACCATTACGGATAATATGACAAGTCCCAAATTGAATGTTATGAAATAAGTAAACAATAATAAAGAGTGTAATTTACCAACCGACGTGCATGCTCTCTTAAAGATATTGAGCCCTTCGTATGTCCGGAAAGACCCGAACTAGGACCATCATTCTCCGACAATCGGTTATGCGATGCTTGCTCCGAATGAGCCATGCGATCAAGTTTCTTAAAATCAATTTGCCACGCATCCCATGCCTCCCGACTCATAGATTGAGGTCGCTTATCCATCAAACTGATCTTGTAAATGAAGTTAGCATAGTGTTTCCTAGCGACACGCTCTTATGCCCCTTTAACAAATGGATCGATGTCGATATCCCATTCAAAATATTTCTGCATAAATAAAAAAATTTATATAACTTATTTGATGAGAATTTTTTTTATATTATAATAAAGAAAATTGTTAATACGTTATCTTAAATTCACTAAAGTAGAAGTCTTTAGTGATGTCGGGGACATCCTTCCATGATGATCCTTCCTTGTCCACCAATTCCTTAAAAATCTCAACGATCTTCATAGAATAATCTCTACTATTTAGACTCAATCTATCAAGCAAACAACAAAATGATGAAAAAAATATTTGAAGCATAATTATTAATGAAATTACATATTAAAAAAAACAAATACGTACGATCCGTAATCGACGAAACAATACGTTGTCGACAAGATGAGTTGTGAGAACTCTCCGGAGTGTCGGACACATGTGTAGAGGGGCCACTCTTGGAGGTCGAAGGTGGAACCTCGGGTGTCGATATAAGAACACCTATCGTTGCGGATGTGCTAGCTCCGTGACTACGAGAGTTGTGGGATCCATAAAAAAAATCCTATCGTTGGAGATCTACGACCGATACCGGTTGGGGATCCTAATGGACTACCCTCCGACAATGATGCTCGTCCATGATTATCGAAACGTGATCCGATAGCACCTCCTGAGGACGATGCAAACCATGATTACCACGAGTCATTGTTGTATGATCTATCATAACGTAAAAAAATGAAATACAACAAATATATTGTTATAATCCATTCATGGGTAAATAAATTAAAATATATCATTTGTTATGGATATAAAACAATCAAAATATACAAAAAATATTTAGTGAAGGTAGAAAAACCAAAATTAATAAATTAATAAAGAGAAAAAATTACATAACTTCTTATTAATACAACAAATGAAATATAAATTTAATTCAAACTATCGTAATAATTGTTTAAGTTATCATCTTCATCATCCGAAATATTGTGACATTCATTTTCTTCGTCGACCACACCTACGTCTATTTCTATAAATGATCCATTTGGATCATTCATAAAGTGATGTCCTTGACTTTGTTTATTAATTCATGTTGAATTTTTGGATCGTCTTACTCGAAATGGTTCAACAGCTTGTTCTATGGTAGTCGATGATTCAGGAAAGTCAAACACGGATCTAGCTTTGATCATACACACACCCCACCAATCTCAACTCGCCGCGTCTTAAGCTAGGAGACTTCATATAATACACTTGAGCCGACCGTGATGTCGGGATAATTGGTTTGTAATTGTTCAAGGTTCTTTTACGGTTAACATCCACAAGTTTATAGTGTGGATGAACCCTTGTTCCTTGTGGCATGGGATCGAACAAATCATATTTGAACAATACTCGTTCTCTTGATTGGTAATGTAGGATACTCTACTTCAATAATTTTCATCAATATCCCATGATAGTTACTCTCGACTGAGCTATAATTGCTTCCTTTAACGCATACATCACTATTGAAAGACCCAATTTTCGAAGATCCCTTAAGTGTGCGTAACCTATAACCATT